TGTCTACTTGACATTCCATTTCGAAGACCTGTAATTAAATAAAATAATAAATGTTACTAAAGGCAAACACAATATCTTGTGGAGCAGAAAATTTTCTTTCAAATGACGTATAACCTTTGCCAATGTGTTTTACTTTTGGCACACATTTTTAAATGTGAAAAAAACGGACACTACTTATGTTAACACCCAATATATATATAATTTTATTAATATTATTTTAAGGAGAAAGTAATCAGGTTCTCATGGTTGGCACTGGCTGTATCAGCATTAATTCATGTCCGAGTGTAGTTCGGAATTGTTGGGGGAAATATCAATATAAATAAAGATGTAGAACCCAACAAGATGTAAGATGAGGAAGTAAAGAACGCATAAATTCAAAATTTTAAGTGGAAACTATGGTCTTACTACATATAACTATTATAGAATATTATATTAATGGGAGCGATCTTGCTCGTTATTTTGTGTGTTTGCACCATCCCACTTGCTTTTGTTCCATGCGTCTTTTTGGGTTGTTGGTGATCTTTCCACCGATCATTGTTGGGGAGACAATCTGTCGCGCTTGTATTTTTCATTGGATACATTCTTCATTTTCGACATGTTTTGCTGGAAATTTTTAAATATATAACCCTGGCATTTCGCGTCGCGAATAATGAATTTAATATCAAACAAAAATTGCATATTAAATGATGTAAAAGGTTTATTTATGCATTTCCATCAACCTGGAAACGAAGTCCAGTGCATGTATTAGCAGTAAGGATAAGAAAGGACAGACATTCTTATTCATTTCATTTATTATGTCCCCTCCTCGATACTCTAAAAAAAGCCAACTCATACAGTTTTGAATGGAAGTTATAGCGGAATTAAATTGGAACGATCGAAGTTATAAACGATTGCCTACCAAAATGTGCTAAAATCCTAAGGGAACCTTTAATTTCCCTTGATTTTACACCATATCTATGAAAGAATTTCAGGATCGGCGCTCACTAGGCACTCGGAAGTGCCGAAGGGCTGAGTGAGCGCTTCCGAGTGCCGAACAGCACACGGAAGTACCTTGCTTGCCTTGGAGAAGTAGGAAGCGGACGTAGGAGCCATGATGCTAGGAGCACTCAATGATGCAGACTGCCCTCGATGCAGCATGAACTAGACGTTTTGTATGGAATGCGAAGGCTGTTCTTATCGGCCCTGATCAGGCTATGTCAGCAAGTTTTTCGGATGATGTATATTCCCTTGCTTTGGAGAGACAATCCCAAAGAAAGGTTTTTCTTCTTGGGAAAGAGGAAGATATAGAAGTTAAAATTCTATAAACAAGTAGTTTTAGGAAAGTTGATTTCATTGTCCCCCTGAAGGGAGAGAATCGCGAGAGCAGTGCAAGCGATGAGGGCGATATTCCAGTGTTCGTAGTGTAACATGGAAACTTATTCCGGAAAAGCTACCTCTTCTCCTCCCTTCTAAATCTTCGAATTTTGACAGGTGGTGCCACCCTTACTCTAACTCTCAAGAAGAGGCTTTATTTCCTCGAGAAACTTCCCGTAAGAAATTGAGAAGAAAGAGTATTTCTAGGCAGAAATGAAGCAGTAATAAGTGGCTGCAAATGTGGCTGCTGCTTTCGATACCGTAAGACCGACGTTCCAGAAATGTGAATGCGGAGACATCCAACTACCCAGGGTTTCTTCGCGAGTCTGAGGGGAGAAAGGACATCCTCAAGTCTCATGGACCAATTCACGGCCGCTAAACAGGGAATGCTTACCGAATGATCCATTTACCTGAAAGAATGTGGTCAGAGCCGAAGAAGCCATGTTGTAGTTTGTCACAACCGAAGAACTCCGTCTGCCTCCGCTGATATGAAAATCGCATCAACTTAATCGATGAAGGTAAAGGCTTAAGGCCAAGAACAAAACTAACAGGTTAACTGTTGTATCTGCCAGCTAAAACTGTCGGTTATTTTCGATTACGAATTCGGAGTTCATCGGAAAAACAATAATTATTTTAAAACAATTTCAGTGGCGATTCATCCTGAGATATGCATTGTGAATGAATAGAATCATATTTGGAGTATAAGCCCATACGTATACCACGTATTCATCCGGATAAGCCTGAGAGGGCTCAATGGTTCCACACCTTAATTCCCACTTCGTCTAGCCATCCAATTCCTAACAGTCCGGCTGAGTAGATCCCATTTCAGGGAAGACGTATGCGAAGCCATCAGCAACTTGAGCCGTCACGGCGTTCCAGGGAAGCTACCGTACGTGTGACATGTAGAATAGGGAGATTCCAGAACATGATTCTCAAGGTTAAGAAGATGCCGCAATTTACTGCATTTCAACTTTCGCGGAATTGGGGCTGTGAAATTTGCGCGTTGAAGGTGATGTCTCATTTTTTCAAGGAAATGAAACACTGCCATATTAATTTCTTATCAAACAGTGAAGTTCAACTATTTCTAAAGTGCTTCTCGAACTGCCAAATTGTACTATTTGTCATAGACATGGACGCATTTCTTAAGGAAGAACGCTTACTCGGGAGCTTGTTCCTCTACCGAATTGTGTACATATTATAAATCAATCTTCAGAAAGGAAACATCTCATGAACTACATTCAGGACGAATTTATTTATTCTTTTCGCATGATTTGTATTGCACTTCTCCGAAAAAAATATTAAGTTCATGCTAAATTAGGATGTTGGTGTTAGAATATTTTCTTAAATGAGAAGGTTCTTTAGTTGTAAACTTAGCATGGGGGAAACACATCAGGATCACATGTGAAGACATGCTGGTTGCTTTGCTCTCTTTTCGTCGTGATAGAAGGATTCCTCATATATTCCCCCCGAGCACGAGGAAGACTTCCATGGTTCGGTAGTAGAGGGAGGAGCATTTCTTGGCTTTGCTCCCATATTTTGCGAGGAGCTCCGCTCGGTAGATGCGGTGGTTGATTGCGTTCTTCGACAGTTCCTTCCGCAAAAATTTGCTTCTTACGTACTCGAATGTGTCGGATGCCTTGAATCCATCGTGAAGCGCAAACGCATTGTCCAATACGAAGAATCTCCACCCCCTTGCGCTCAACTCACATGCCTGAGGAAGAAAGATTAACGGATAAATTAAAGAACCACGACGTCATGCTGAAGATGTGTGAGCCACAAAACTCATGAGCTCTGATGATCCATGCAGACAAATGAATAAAACAGCTGATCAATTTCCAAGTGAGGTAGCTACCTTCAAAGGCACGTACTTCCGTTTAAGTATGATTTCATTATCAATAGAGTTACCTTAAATGACATTGTAGTGCTTGGTGCAGCTAGTGTTTCGGTTACAAGAAGCAAAGAAATGACATTTAACCCCTAAAGGGACGTGGGTCAGCTGATATCAATGGTACAATAGAAATTCATTGTTATGAAAAGAAAAAAACAAGATGCTCATTATGGCACACGTAGTCAAATAAGTTTCGATAATAATACCCACTCTATGAGAGAGTATTGAACTCCTGCACTTCTCGTCGATTGGCTTGGTTTATTCGTATCTACACGGTATTCATTGAATTTTACTTTTTTTCATTCAATATTGTTGTTGCCTTTTTAACTTTGCTTATGAGATGGAAAGAACTAGTTGACTTACATAGGACCCGCGGTCATAGGTTATCTCCTTGATTCCTTCATAGTAATCGGGAGCGGAGGAGGTGAGAATGAAGTAGGGCTCATAGAGGAATCCCCATTCCACCTCGTAAGCAATCCTCACACCATCGCTCGGTGGTAAGGCGAACCATCTGCTGTAATCTGTTTTCCCCTGAAAGGATCCGGGATTACAAATTCACTGAACAACTCCTGGGAATATTTTAGTTGGATTTCAGCTCCAACTTGACAGAAGTCTGGTCAAATTCAGTCATTAGCAAGAGATCCTGAAGCTGCACACAATAATATAACTTGAATAGTTTAAACGTAAAACAAGATGAGGTTCCTCGCATAAATGAATAGTTTCAAGTACAAGCTAAGATCACTATCCGTACTAAAAATTTCATGGATTATTTACATTTTGAAGGATATAATTCTCTTTTAAATATTTTATCCGAAGGAGAAAATAGGTAGAACAGGCAGGCATTCCTGTTCAAGCAATCTTGATCTCGCTCTTCCTCACTTAAGTAAGATGTTGCTTTCTCCCAGGCCTACCAATTATAGACTTGGATTATCATTATAGCCACCATGCTTATTGTGAAACATACCCAAGCGGCATGTTTACGTAAGCAATATATAAATATCTTTCAAATAATGTAAATGTATTGCATTGTCATGTAAATGACATCACGTTTACGTAAAACTTACGCTCCTATATTTCCGCCATACATGTACCTTATTTAGAACTCAAGGTTACTTGGACGAGTACACAAGTACTCATCTTCACCAGTACTCAAGAGTATCAATATGACCCACTAGTTCCTCCTTCAGTACCAGAACCTCAAGAGAAGGAACAGATGTTTAAAGGAGAGCTCTCCTCCATTAGGAATAGAAAAGGTATAGTACTTGTGGAACTGGGATTATACTCTTCCCTAATCCCGGGGACTTCTGTAATTTCATGCTTAGCTGCAGTATTTCAAGATTCTCTGAGTCATATTATTAAAAACATGTAATAATTTCATGGTTTCCATATATATACTTATGGATTGCATAATAGAAAAGCGAAGGATGATAGGAAACCCTGATACTATATTGGAAAACCAGTACTTAATAGCATTTGTAGGGGGCAGGGAACAAGGGTTCCAACTAGTGAGGAATCTTGGTATTGCAACTACGGGATGGTCAGCTGAAAGTTTCGTATGGAGGGTGTGGTGTTTTTGCATAAACTTTATATAATATACTTCATATCAGGTGAAGTGATGCCTGGTGTACATGCAATATACATCTACATTGGTGATGTAAATAGAAAAATGTAAACTTAATATGACCGTGATATCATTTGCATGACAATCGCAAGTAATTGATGTTGTTTGAAAAAAAAGTTGTCTTGCTTCTCGTGAAAATGCTACTTGGGGAGTCTCATGAGAAAGGATTAAAATAATAGCTTCAGAACAAGCTGGATTCAATTCTGGCACCTGTATAAAAACGGATATAGACGTATGAAGAGGTAAGGCTTAAACCTCAATTGATATATAAACATGGGGAAATGTGCTTAATGATTTATCTGTGTGCACCTTGAGGGGAGTATGAGGGCCTCAGTTGGTCTTATGAGGAAATATTAAAGGTAGAGCTTGTTAGAAAAAGCAAACGCCATGCTTCGCATTCCCTCACCTGCGTTAAAGGGCTCCAGGTGGCATAAAACTGCCGGGCACTCCCGTTCTGGAATAAAGTCCTCAGTTCCAATTTATTCGTCGGTATGGGTGCTTCCTTCTGCAGTTCGAAGACTGGCATGATGTACAACACGTCCTCTTTGTTTAGCAGGCCTTCCTTTTTTACCATCTGCAGGAAACTCGTCCGAAGCCCAATACTGGGAGTGATGTCCATATCGCAGATGGTAAAGAAATGGGTGCGGGCACTTTTTCGTGCCACGTTCCTCATGAGGCTGATTGGATAAGGGGTTCGAGTTCCCAAGAAGTTCTCCTTGCCTGATGAAAGCCGGTTCAAGGCCTCGTCAATGGTATCGCAACTTTCATTCCAGAACTTCCAATCCGATTCCTCTTGCTGGATGTAGCGGTGGTAGGAGAAACTAAAGGTGGCGTGTTGTTTCAGTAACGGATAGGAAGCCCTCAGACACTGGATGGCTTTAATCGTGGGCTCAATGTCTTTCTCAGACCAAAGAAATAGAGCTACTGACATCGGTCCCTGTCAACAATGATTGGAAAAGAAGTTCATTACTCACGTGACGATATAATCTTGTACATTTTCAAACGATGGACAAATTGCATTAATCTAATATACAGAGTCCGCCAAAAAAATGTATACACACTTCAGGAAAAGAAAAACTTGTATAAATATTTTAATACTAAATTTATTCAGACATCATGAGATTAATACAAGTTACCTTTGGCCTCTACAATTA